GAATGAAAAGGCAATGTAAAGGATTTGGGTTTACTCATGTCGGAAGACCTTACCTTTAACCCTTAAACTCTGCATGGTGTATATATATACACCATGCCGGTTGAGTGCCTCTGGCTCCGGTTTTTGTTTCAGTTCTGTGCCTTGTGGTGTGGACTGTCTATAACGGTGGGGTGTGAGCCAGGAGTGAGATTCCATGGTACTCAGGCTGCATGCGTCTAGGGCTCTCTCTATCCTAGGTGCCCTGTAAGTACTGCCCTTGGGGCTTGGGGCCACCTTCCACAAGTCACCTTGGGTTCTACCTCCACTGTGTCCTTTACTGCTCGGTACTGGGCCGCCCTTGGAGTCGGCTGTAGTTTTGTTGCCCTGGTTCGTCTCTGGATAGGTGGTAGTTTTCGTCACTGGTAGGGGCGCGGGGTGCCGCACAGCAAGTTTTCACCAACAACAGCGGCCGGCTCTGTTCCGCCTGTGTACGTTGTTCTCTTGCAGGGTTTTTCTTTTGTTATTTATTTTGCCTGGTAGGGGGTCTGCCTTTGTGGTCCCCCTTTACTGTTCTAGGTGTTTTTATATAGATATTTTCTGTTGGTGGTACTCCCCGCTTGGCCCCCTTGAATGGACTCGTCCCGGGGGTTCAGCTTATAGACGTTTGTTTGGTAGACTTGGGCGCCGGTTCACAATACCCTACCTGAGCTTCCCTTAGCGTGTACCCAAGGCTAAGGGCCCTGGAAAACCCCACGGGGGCTCCGTGGTCCTATGGGTGTGTCCCCGGAGTCCCCCCTCGCGTCTTGCGAATTTGACGGTTGCTCTGTCCCCTTGTCTCAGGGTGACACTCGCCAGTTGTGCCTCCGCCATGCTGCCTGTTGGGTCATTGTTTCTTATGACCTGGAGTCGTGCGATGGGTGTTATCGGTATGTGCTCTCGTTCACCCAGGCCACTAGTCATGACAATCGGGTGTTGGCTGCGGCAACGCTCTTGGTTGTTTGCGGCCCCGGATGCCCCGAGGCTGCCCCGTTTTGGTTGTTGGGGTCCGGACTTGGGGGTGGGGGTCACTTCGGCTCTGGCTCCTTACGCCCCTCGTCCTTTCCCTTCTGTTCTGCACACTTCCTCCCTAGCTTCCGACCCTGAACCGTAGGCGGGTTTTGGGGTTGGAGTGGGGTCTGGTTGGGTTGAGACTAGGGCATTCTCTGGGAGTTTTCCTCTTCCGGGGTGGCGGCGGAGGCATTTGAATCAGTTCCTCCAGCCGTGCATATGGGTCTGACCAGTGGGCTCCCTTCCTTAGTGTTTGTTCGGCTGCCCCGGCTTTTCCTTGTCAAGCTGGGGCTTTGAGGGGTGCGGCTCGGCCCCGGGTCTTGCTGTTGAAGTTCTCGGGGTTGGGGGAGGGGTTGCCTGGGGGGCCTCGGCCCAATTTGCCCCTCTTGGATCTTTGTACCCTCGGTGAGGGGCTGGCGGTTCCTCAGAGTGGGGTTGTTCCTTTCCCCTCTGTGTTTATGTTGGTTTTGGGTCTACCCCTCCCTTGGTTCGGTTCTGTGTCCGTTTGGGTTCGTCGGTCCCATCGTTCCTGGGGGTGTGTTTCGTCCCCTTTTCCTTACCCTTTTCGTGCTTACGTCGTGATACTGTTCCCTTCGTATCGGGGTCCCTGCGTGTCCCTTGATCAGGGGTATATTTTTGTCCATATGTACCTCAGTGTGTTTGAGCTTGCCTATCGTGGTTCTCGTTGGTTCGCGCGGCTCTTCGTACTTTCCAATATTATTGGAACGTCTGTTGACTTCCGATGTCGTTTCCCTCTGGTCCTTTGTCGGCCTCGTTGGTTCCCATACGTCCTGTCTTTTTTTGTTTCGGTTTCGCCTTGTTTTGTTTTCACGTTGTCTCTCCTTCCAGTTTCGACGTTTCTCGTCTTCGTTACGTGCACCTTGCTGGTGTTTGTACGATGTGTGTGTGTACAATGTGTCTGTACGATATGTGTATGTACGATATGTGTGTCCGCCTGGTGTACGAGCCATGCCACCCGGTACATGGGTGGTGCGTTTCGTACCTCATGCGCTGGGGCCGGGGTGCTCGTGTGTTCCGTGTCGTTTCTCGCGGTTTTCTACGGCTTCTTGCTTGTTTTCTCCCCCAGTTGTAGCCCTCTAGATGCTGGGGGTGTTCTTGATTTTATATATGGGGTGGGGGGGGGGGGGCATCATTTCGCTTCCGGGTGTTGGGTAGCTCGGAGTGGTGCCTCCTCCCCTTCTGTACTCGAATTCTGCTGGGCGCGTGCCTCTGGACGTATTTCACATAGACTTCCAATTTTATTCTGGTAACCAAGCATACTATGGCCTCTAGTATGCATGGCTTTTGAGCGCACCACTAGTGATGCTCCTGGTATGTTACTTGGCTCGATTGTGTTGTGGTACAGTCGTGTCTGCTCTGCAGGTGAGATTGTCATGTCTGGTGCCTGGGTCAGCAGGTGCTGGTTCTCGACTTTTGGTGGGGTGTTTGCCTAGTTGTGCTTGCGGGGGTTGAGCTCTGGCTCTTTGGCCCCACCTCTCTCCTGTTGGTCGACGGTTGTGCAGTTTCCAGTGTATTGCAGAATCTGCAGGCGGCGGCTTCCAGTTGTCGTCCCATGTCAGACTTGTTGGTTCTCCAGGGGGGCCCACGAGGGGGGGGGGAGTCTCCATGGAAAGGTCGTTCCAGGGCTCAAGGTTCCTCCAGTTGTGGTTGACACGGTGATCGCTCTGTGCGGGAGTTGGGTTCCTGTAAGGGCCATCGGCCCTTTAACGGTTCGTCCCATTGATGGGGCGATGGGGAAGAGGCTCGCTCTGTTTGCTCACGCCTGCTCCCACAATTTGTGGGCCTTTTGGGTTGTTTCGTGCGGCCTGCATTAGCGATGGGTGGCCCCTCCTCCTTTGGGAGGTTCGGGGCTGGCGGTACAGGCCTCTCCTCCTGCACTCTGTCAGGTCATTTCGGAGTGGGTTTGCTTGGGCGGGGTCGAAACAACCTCATTCCTCTGTTGGATTTCCCGCCTGTTTCCGGTTTCTAATTGGGACTGCACGGACCTCAGGTTCATTCTAGACTTGTTCCGTCTCAACCAGTGGGTTTATTGCCCCTACTTTTGGATGATTATTCTGTTCTCGGTTTGTCTTTTTTTGGAGCCGGGCGCTTGGATGGTGTCCCTGGACTGCTGGGGCGCTTATTGGCACATCCGATTCATCCGGGGTTCAGGGACTGGTTTGATTTTGTTGTGGGGCATCAGGGTTTCCGCTTTCATTGCCTGCCATTCAACTTGAATCTGGTACCTTCCATTTTCACACACTGAACACAGGTCGTGGTGGTCCGTCTGCGTCTTTTTATGGATTTGGGTTCTGGCCTACCTCGACGACTGGCTGGTGTGGGCTTCCAGCTGGCCCGCGTGTCTGCTCGCCAGGGATTTGTTTCTTTCCCAGCTTGCCTGGTTCGGGTTCCTGGTGAACTGGAGGAAGTCCCATCTGGTTCCCACTCAGGTTTGGTCTTGGCTGGGCCTTATGTGGGACTCTTGGACCGCTTCTTTGTCTCTCCCTCCGGAGGCTCTGCTTCGGCTACAGTCCAGCCTTTGCCTGTTTCTGGGGGGGCTCCTGGGTTTCTGGGGGGGCTCCTGGGTTTCTGGGGGGGCTCCTGGGTTTCTGGGGGCTCCTGGGTTTCTGGGGGCTCCTGGGTTTCTGGGGGCTCCTGGGTTTCTGGGGATTCCAGGTTGCTTGAGGGTTTGTGCGGGAACCTGAACTTTGCCATGATGGTTTACTAGATGCGTTGGGTTTGGCTTCGTCAGCTGTTCTGGTTCGTTTCGTGATGTCTCTTCTGCTTCTCTCGCGCGATCGCTGGGTTCGGCCCCATGGGGCCGTGCATCGGTTGTTTGTCGCCGGCTTCCTCTTCAGGTTTTTCAGGGTTCAGTGCCTTGGCGCCTGCCCAAACCCTTGCTTGATGTGTTCATGGATGCGTCGTCTCTTGGCTCAGGCTTTGTGACCTGTACTCACAAGGCCGGCCTGGCTTGGTGGGGGTCTGCCCTTCCGTCGGGCCCACAGCATGGCGTGGGAGTTTGCGGCGGTGTGGATGTCGATTCGGAGGGTTTGGGTCACTCGTGGATCGACCATCAGGCTCCATTCGGACTGCTCCATTGGACCTCGAGTTCATCGGTCATTAGCAGACGATCAGGCTCCATTCGGACTGCTACGTTGGACCTGGACTCCAATGGTCGATGGCAGACATAGAATGCTTCCAACCACATGAGGTTTTCTATAGGCCATTGTTATCCACAATGTAAAATCCAAAATTCACTCGGTAAAACATCTAAACTATTGGGACCGACTAAAATGCCTAAATCTCTATTCTCTTGAGTGCAGGCGGGAGGGAGAGATTAATAATTTACACGTGGAAAAATAGAGGGAGCTGATCCTAAACCTGCACACAGAAATAACACCACATGAGACTAGGAGGCATGGCAGGATGTGCAGAATACCCCTCGTTGAAGATCAGAGGTGCAACAGGTACTCTGAGCAGAAAACTTTATCTACGTCAGAGGCCCGAGACTGTTCAACACCCTTCCACTACACATAAGAGGAATAACTGGCCGACCCCACACTGTGTTTGAAAGAACTTGATAAACACCTCCTAAGGATACCTGATTAACCAGGCTATGACTCATACGTCAGGCTGCGAGTAGCCTCATCCAACAACCTGGTTGACCAGTCCAGCAACAAGGAGGGCAATGACCGGGTCGCGGGGACGCTAAGGCCTGAAACCAACACAAGGTAACCCACAAGGTAAGGTGCTCGTGCCTCTCTGAGGGGTCCAGGTTCTGGTTCGTGGTCCCCTGTAGGCCTAGAACTCGATGTGCATTGATTGATGCTAGGGTCTAATAGATTCATATCAGCTCGGTTAGTTCTGAGGAGCCTCTGCTTCTCACCCAGAAAATGGCGTTTCATTACATTCAATGCTTGTTTTTTGTCGTGAGAATAGATAGGATATATTATATCTTAAAAAATGGTCAACAGTGATGGGGACGATGCAGGTGGAGACGAAAGCTGTGGGAGGCCAAACCCACGGCCACCCGTTCCAGGTGGGGAAGATGTGCCGCGGACTCATCACTACCATCACCCACAGTTCGGGGAGTCGGGAAAGGACCCCCCAGGAGACTGGGGAAAACCTTCCCATTGCCTCTTGCCTTATGCCTCACATCACCCCTACTCACATTTTCAAGGTGAGATTATAGTAGAATATTTATTCCTAGTCACTTCACTAACAGTTTGTTTCTATTTGCTAGAAGAATTCTTTTTACTACTTTATAGTTATAGTAACCAATGTATTGCTGTATACTCACCGAGGGCTTGAAAAGTAAATGCCACCAAACACACAATGGTGGCTCAAAGGATAATTAATAAGGTAATCCTAGAGGATTTAACTGAATCATCTAGGGATCCTGATGAGGGGAGGCTAGACCTGCATATTTCAGTCTTGATCTCGCAAAAGTCATGAACGGTTTCTTTAATATTTCATCATCTTTTTATTTAAGTGATTCTGAAGTTGGAAGTTGTAGCATACTCTCCTCACACAATGTTCTTTATGTGGTCCTAAGGTGTTGGTTTTCTATCCAGGATCACCCATAGATCTCTCCTTATCAGAAGTCTTTTAATGCTTTTCTGTGGAGAGCCCCTTCGTCTCCCCGTAGCTATACCGGGCTGATGTGTATATATTAATCTGTGGCAATAGTCAATGGAATGAGTTCTTGGCCTACCGGGGACCAGAGCCAGAACCTGGCCCCCTCAAGAGAGGCACGAGGAGCAATGGCCTAAAGACACCCCCGTGGAATTGGAAGCAGTCTTTGTCTGCCATCTACCAGGTCAGGCACCCAGAAAGGTAGGAATTCCAAAACAAACTACTGCTGATCAAATTAATTGCAAACTGAAAGCCAAATTAGCAACATTAGCAACCTGATTAACCAGGCTATGACTCATACGTCAGGCTGCGAGTAGCCTCATCCAACAACCTGGTTGACCAGTCCAGCAACAAGGAGGGCAATGACCGGGTCAAAACCCCAGTCAAAACCCCAGTCAAAACCAAGGAAACAAGTATGATGTCACCACATGCCCCCATCTGCGCAGCCCCCCCCCCCCTTTCTCTGGGAGGGGGCTGGGGGGTCCCAGACCTCCACACCAGCAGCTCTCTTCAGTTTAAGAGGCTGTTGTGTTGGTGATGGTTGATCGCTCTGGCTCCACTATTTGCGCAGTGCTGCAGTGCGGTGGTGTTGCTCTGTTTTGGAGGTGTGTGAGCCAGATGTAACACAAGAGTACTGGGGCTGCATGCACCTAGGGCTGCCTTCCCTAGGTGACCTGTAAGTACTGCCTTTGCGGCTTTAAGGTTTACCTTCCACGGTTTAGGGTTTTAGGGTTTAGGGTTGCCCGCCCTTGGAGGTTCAGCTGGGGTGGTTCTTACTCCTGTTTTCGCTTGGGTTAGGAGGTAGTTTCGTCGCTGACTGGGGTGCAAGGTTTTGTGCAGCTGTCTGATATACGCATAGCGATCGGTTCTGTTCTCCAGGAGACGTTGTGCTTTTGCGGGGTTTTTCCTTTGTTTTTGTTTTGTTTTCCCTGATGGGGGTCTGCCAGGTGTGGCAGTAGGACCACTGGTAGGTTTTTGGTGGCCCTCCACTAGGTCCCCGTGCTTGCACACATCACAGGGGTTCAGCTTTTAGATTGTTTGCTTGGTAGCTCTGGGATAACCGGTTAGCAGTACCTCGCCTGGGCTTCCCTTAGCAGTCAGCCTAAGGGCCCTGGAAACCCCCATTGGGGCTCAGTGGTCTAATGTAGGAGACCTCTGAGTTCCATCTCGCCTTGTGCAAGTTTGTAGGTTGCTCTGTCCCCCTGTTTTGGAGTGACATTCACCGTTTGCCTCTGCCTTGCTGCTTGTTGGGGTCAGTGACATCTATGACCCCGGAGTCCTGCGAGTGGTGTTCTTTGCTTGTACTCTACCTCACCCAGTCCACTGAGACTGATATTTGGGTGCAGGCAGCTTTAACATTGCATGCAAGGTTTAAGTTGCAGCAACGTGCGAGGTTGGTTGCCAGTTCAGATGCCTCGCAGCTGCCCTGCTGAATTATACTGGTAGTGAGACTCGGGTGGCTTCGGGGATTGCCCCTTCTGAATTGGCGGCGGAGGCATTCGAGCCTGGTCCTTCTGCTGGAGCTTTTGGGCCACGCCAGCGGGCCCCCTTCATCCCTGCTTTTCTGGTGGATTCTGCTTTTTCTCCACAGGCAGAGGGTTAGAAGGACGGCTTGGCCCCGGGTCGTGACGTGGAGGATTCTGGGGCTGGGGAGGAGTTGACTTGGAGGGGGGGCCTGAGCCCTACTTGTCCCTGCTTGGGGGTTTGGCACCCTCGGCACAGAGCGTGTTGTTACAGGGGAAGGGGTTTTCCTTTCCCCCTCCCTGTACGATTTTGTTAAGAGTTCAACTCCTCCCCGGGTTCGGGTCCGAGTTCCCTTGGGTTCTTCGGTTCCCTCCTGGAGGTTTTTGGCCTCCCACATCCCACTGAGAAAGGTGTGGAAGGCCCCTTGCGGCTTGCCTCCTGCGAGATCTGGATTACGCCTTGATGATGAAGCCTTCTTTTTGAGTTTGGCTCCTCTTTTTCGGTGCGTTACAAGGAGCCGGATCTTTCTGGCTGGCAGACTGCTTTTTTTTCTTTGCGATGGGGGGGGGGGGCTTGGCATTCATCCTGTTGGAATGCACACTTGAATGGCAAGAATTGCCCATGGTCGTTCAGGTTTTCCTGGGGGGCGAGTTGGAGCACCTCAAGGTGTGCTAGTTCACTCCCGTCCTTCCTTATGATGTCAGCCAGGTGCGACTTCACGTACAGGTTCTCTCCCTTTCGGCATCCCTGGTGGCCGTGGATTTGTGCGCCCGTGGGCACTTGGCTTCGGTCTTGCACTTCTTTTCCCTGCTGAAGCTGTCTTCGGACTGTCTCGTGCTGGGTGTGGAGGAGCTGGGTTCTGGGCCAAGGTTCAGGGTTGCTTGCTTCGGCAACTCTGGCACCGGCTGCTTTGGTGAAGTTGTATGCGCCGTTTGAGGGAGGCGATGTCTGTTGTTCACTTCTTGCCTCGCGTGCTGACAGGCGGTGCTCGTCCAATTTTGGAATCGTCTTGGGCCCTGGCTCCTAGATTTTCATTGCCTTTTTGTCCATTGCTGTTTGCAAAGTCTGCGGTGGTGCTTTTTATGCAGACGGCTTCGTCTAGTTGACGTCCTTTGTCGGACTTGTAGGTTCTCCAGGAGGGGGGGGGTGGCATGGAGGTCCTGCCCGGAAGGGTCATGCCAGGTCTCTGGGTTCCTTCGGTCGTTGTAAGCCAGTAGTGCCAGATTTGGGGCCGGCACCTCCTCTGGAGCTGTCGGCGTCTGGTCGGTGCAGTAATCGCTCTTAGCGTCGGTTGGGCTCTAGTAGGGGTCGTTGGCTTTTGCGGGTTGCCCCGTTGACAGGGTGATAGGGGGGGGGGAGGCTCGCGCTGTTTGCTCTCGCCTGGTCCCACGATTTGTGGGCATTTCGGGTTGTTTCTTCCAACCTGTGGCGGCGTTGGGTCGCTCCTCCTCCTTCGCGGGGATCGGGCTGGCAGGGCAGGCCTCTTCTCCTGTGCTCTGTCATGTCATTCGGGAGTACTCACCTAGCTGTACTCGCCTAGTTGTGCTTGCGGGGGTTGAGCTTTGGCTCTTTGGTCTCGCCTCTCAACCGTCAATCAACAGGTGCACAGGTTCCTGAGCCTTTTGGGCTCTTATCATATCTACACTTGAAACTGTGTATGGAGTCAGCCTCCACCACATTACTTCCTAATGCATTCCATTTGTCAACCACTCTGACACTAAAAAAGTTCTTTCTAATGGGAGTGGGTTCGCTTGGGTGTGGTCAGAACGACAACGTCCCTCAGGTAGGTTTCCCATCTATTTTCAGTTCTGAAACGGGACTGTGCAGATCTGTGATTCATACTGAACTTGTCTAGTCTGAATCCCTGGGACTTTTGCCCCTCCTTTCGGATGACCACTCTGTCTCAGGTCTGGCTTCTTTTAGCGCTGGGTGCCTGGATGGTGTATCTGGACCTCCGGTTCATTGCTTGAACCGCAGGGGTTTGTCACTTCTGCTCCGTTCCGCAAGCTTTCTCGGCGTTGTTTCACCTCCAGCCTGCTCATGCGTCGCCTGAGCTGTTCTTGTTGTTGGACCTGGTGCTCTCTTTTCTCTCTTCTACTCGGTTTGTGGTGGCCCCCCTCGGTTCAGGACTGTTTTTTTCTAAGACACTTTTCTTGTGGGCATTGGACTCTGGGGGTTGGGTCGGGGAGCTTCATGGTGGTCTTTTCATTCATTTGCAGTCTTCTCCTTCTTTTCTGGTGAAGAATCAGTCTGCTGCTTTCTGAGGGGGTCCTTGGATTGTTGATGCTTGGATGGTTCGGCCAGGGGTACATCATGTTTTGTGTACAGTTGCTGCTCTTCGCAGGTATTTGCGCTCCACGGCCTCCGTGGCAGGGGACATGCTTTAGGTGGACCCGGTTTCCCTTCTTCCCTGTTCCAAGGCGTGGTTCTCCCAGGTTGTCTGTAGGATTAATCGGTCCAGCCAGCCTACAGTCTATCCCTGTGCCTACGACGTTCGTAAGTTTGCGGCTTTGGCTGCTGTTTTTGGGAATATGTCCTGGGCTGACATTCGGGCATGGGGTTTTGGGAGGTCGAACAGGTTCCTGGCTGCACGGTATCTTGTTAATGTTCCTGGGCCTGCTCGGGCGTGTGTAGCCTTGGGTCGCTGGTTGCAGCCATTTGTCTCGACTTCAAGTTGAGAAGCGAGTGACGACCACCTCCCAGGTAAGTCCCTCTTTTTCTTTATCTTTGGTTAGGTAGCTCCGGGGAGCCGAAGGGGCTCTCCACAGAAAACCAGCGTTGAATGTAATGAAACGCCATTTTCTGGGTGAGTCCCGGAGGCTCCCTGGCATTCCTCCCTCCCGGTCGGCGTTTTTTCGCGTTTTTTTGATACTTAGCCTCTGAACTGAAGAGAGTTGCCGGCGTAGAGGTCTGGGACCCCCCGTCCCCCTCCCGGGAGGGGGGGGGGGCTGCGCAGACGGATGCGCGGTGTTTGTGTTGATGTCATACTTGTTTCCTTGGTTTTGATTGGGGAGTTCTGTTGCTAGTTCGGCTTTCGGTTTTCAGTTTATTTGATCAGCAGTACTGTAACCCCGCAATTAT